CCCTTTCTTGGAGGTGATATTTAAATTGAGACCTGGAGGTTGCTGTCTCCACAGCCCAGTGAACAGAGGGGACAAGCCTTCCAAACTGAAAATGGGAGGGGGAGAGAGAACTTGGTGCACACACTGACCTAAGAGAAAGCCAGTAGATGTTTCCGAGAAGTACTCAGAGATGCCAGGAGCCAAAAGTTAGACCATGGAGGAGGGCCAGGGTGGTGTAAGCAAGGCTGTAGTGAAATGTGAATAATACTAACACAAGTCTGTGATACACAGTTGCCCCAAAACAGACTGTGCTCCACATGAGCTATGGTATGCATAAACAAAGAGGAATGATTATTTTGTTATTCTTGAGGTTGGGGTTCTATTGTATAGTAAGGCTAGCTAAAAACTGTTATGCCCAGATCAGAAACCCCCCCCCAAAAGACCACCATGGAGACTGAATCCCGCATGTAAAAGCAAAGAGCCTTTATTTCAAGCTCTGTAGCTTGGTCCCTGAAAGGATGATAAACAGTGCTGGTTACCGTGTGGAAAGGTCACGGTCACTACAGAACCCAGTGTTAGTTTTCAGAGCTTTATTAGGAGGGAAAGGGGGAAAGGAAGAGAGGAGAGCCAGGCCTGGTGAGAGAGAAAGATGGTGGGGTGGAGGGAGAGGGGAAGAGAGCAGAGCAGGGAGCAGGGAACAGGGAGACAGAGTGTGGTCTGCATCCAGCTTTTAAGGTGCAGATTGTGTGACCATGCTGTGTGTACCAATTACCAGTGCCCCAGATGACATAAGATGCAAGACCCCGAGCTGCGCATGTGCAGGAGTGAGGGCAGGATCCTAACATTCCAGACTTTTTGCTTATTATAAAAAAGCAAGTGAATAGGAATCGGGCGTCATTTCTCCTGGAAAAACTGCTTCCGGCTGACTTGGTGGGCATCGGTTGGCTCTTAGGGGGAATAGGGAAGGGGGCCTTCCAAGGTGGACAGTTGTCCTGGGATGGTGGGCTGTACTGCTGCCCTGGAGCCATCTACCCCTCTTGGCTTGGCACTCTGGCTGCTTTTGTGTCTGACAGGATGCTGGGGAGACAGAAAAAGCCTGAAGTAGAGTCAACCTGTCCAGATGGATTTAAGCTGGTTTCTAGAGCGTGGGGAAAGTTTTGAACATGTTAAGAAGCAGCCATGAGAAAATCAGTGACCATTTTAGAGTTTAGTACTCTGCTTGTATTGGTTAGTGTTAATGGGAGAGACAGAGAGATTGGAACATGTTAAGCTTTATCAGAGACAGATTATTTTAAGGCACCTGTTTCCTTTACTAGTTTAGCATCCAGGAGACAGGTGATAAATTGTTAAAAGCATTTAACAGTAATAGATGGTTACATTAAAGTCTGTTTTTGTAGAGCCCAGACACTTTTGGGTCTGGGGGTGTAAATACCTTTTAGCTGTTACAGTTTCTTACTTGATAATCTCTGGACTCCAGTTCTGTGATGATCCTATAACCATTAGCTGGGCAGTTAATTAGGAGAGGGAACTGGGAAGAGAAAAGCTTGTGGGGTGAGAACTCATTTTTTGGAATTAGGGACAAGGCAGAGATCAGTGCCCTGTCTGTGTGCATGAGGAGGAAAAGCACTTCTGACAGGTCTGGAGTGAGGCACATGGAGGGAGCAATGAAATGAAAGCCCCTATCTTAGCTGGAGAATCTTTTCTCATTAAGTAAAATTACAGTTAAGTCTGGGGAGGGGGGTAAGGCTGTCCTCCCTACCCCAACAATAGAAAAATGAGGAGAGGTGGGACCCCAAAACTCCCAGGACTGGGTTAGTGGCTCTGGTGTCCAGAAGGAAAGAAACGGATCACTTCCATGCTGCATTCTGGGTTCCCTGAGAACGAGCCTGTGGCCGAGCCTAGGTCTGCTGGAAGTCTTAGCTTGATGCTCCCCTGCCCCTTGGTGTCTGGGTGCAGTCAGCTGACCAGTTGTCTTTCTAGGTGGCACTCTGAACAAGGCTCAACGGATGGCCTGGCAGGGCAGGCAGTAGCCTGCATGGCCTTTTTTTTTACAACACCCCCCCCCCCCCCCCCCCGACTTAAAACAGGGACCCAGTGGCTTTGTGCCAGCACTTGGCAATTCTGTTCTCGGGCTTTTTTTGTTGTTGTTTTTTTAATCTCCCCGCTGGTACACCTTAAATGCCACAGCTGAAACTTCTGCCTGTGGGATCAGGAGCCTTGCTCTCCAGATGCTTAAGTTTTAGCCCTATATCGGGAGGTCTGGGGGACAAGAGACGGATTTTATTCCGTGTCTTGAATTTCTTTTTGATTTCTGCTGGCTTGAGGACAGCTTTAGAGAAGACCCTCCAGGAGGCAGGGTGTGAGCTGATCTCTGGCTAAAGAGCCATCCTCACTACTGTGATGCCCATGTGGGTCCTGATCGTAAACTTGCTTGCATGTATCTTAGCTTGCTTTCAGACCCGTCTGTGTCTCTCAGGGCAGCTTGAGAATGAGTGGGAGGAGTTAAGGTGAGTTAAAGCCTGATACTTGAGAGTGGGGAACAGAAGTCAGATAGACAGCAGTGGTTGCACATGGCAGAGAAAGAATCAGAAATGGAGAGGGAGAAGGGTTCAGAGCTTCGGTAGAGAACTTGGGGATAAGGTAACTTTTTCATTTGCCCATTCACTGGCAGAAGTTAGATAACTCCCATGAAATATCGGGGTTGAAACTGCCAAATTTACTGGTATCCGCCCCTATGCCCCATGGCTGCAGCGCCAAGAGAGAAAAAATAAAAACTTAAAACAATGAACCGGGATCAGACTCCAATCTCAAGCCTCCCAGAGGTAAGAGAAGGATCTATGAATCAGCACTGGTTACTCCCTGATTCATCAAGAGAGGAGTAAGGGCTGGGAGTGTACGCAGCACGAGGACCCCGATATTTCACGGGAATTAGGGTCTGGCACGAGGAATACAGCTCAGGTGGCAGTCACAGCAAACGATGGGGGAACTCACCAATCTTGGTGGCACGTGCGGTGTGTACAGAGCGGTCCTGCGGCTGAGCAAATGAAAAAGCGTAGTGGACAGTCACAGGTCCTCAGTATAGGTTTCCAACAATGCTCAGCCCTGGACGACGAGTGAGCGGAATTTCCTATTCGAGTCCACGGCACCAATGGAAGGAGGATAAACGGTGCTGTGGTGGTGCTGGTTACCACGTGGAAAGGTCATGGTCATGATGGAACCCAGTATCAGTATTCAGAGCTTTGTTTGGAGGAAAAGGGGGGAGGGGACCAGGCCTGGTGAGAGAGAAAGATGGTGGGGTGGGGGAAGAGGGGAGCAGAGAGCAGAGAGAGCATGGAGTCTGCATCCAGCTTTTAAGGAGCAGATTGTGTGACCACACCACACGTACAGAGTTGCCAACGCCCCGATGATGTAAGACACAAGACCCGAGCTGCGCATGTGCAGGAGTGAGAGCCGGATCCTAACAGTCCCTCTGTCTGTCCAACACAGCGGTGAGAACAGAGAGCCCCGAGCTCAGGTGGGGCAGAGTTTTTATCATAGCAGAGGTTGGGGTGAGGGGATTTCCAGGGTCCAGGACCCTGACTGGCTGACAATTGTCTGGGGGTATCTGTAAAACAAAAAAATAGGTGTATGCTAGACTCAAGGACATCTGGCCACCTTATCTAATGGTTGGAATGTTTGGGATGTCAGGTACTTCCTCATCCCTGGGTGGATCCCTGGGTGGTATCAGCTTAAGGTTTTTCCTGGATCTGGGTGTTGCCTGCCAGTAAGCCTTTCACAGAGACTGTGTCTGGGCCCCTAAGCCTGTCATGGCTGCTGTGTGGTCAAGCTGTTTTGGGGTCCCTCCACACAAATAACAATGCTCCTGCCTCAGCCTCCTGGATTAAAGATGTGCTCTGTGATCCAGTTTTCAGTGACTCTTGGAGAAAATACATGCTAAAGAAATCAAGCATTAGGTAAGGAGGCAGAGGGGTGAAGAACTAAATGACAAGGTCCATCAGGCTAATTCTAAAATGGAGGACACACGGTTCCATTCTCCCAACAGATACCTGGTGCATCTATCTTAATTCTGGGAAATTTCCAAATTGTCAGTATTCCTTCAGTGAATGTTACATGTAATAAAGCTTAGAATTTTAGATGTTCTGAACAATAGCAAGTAAAATAGTGAGAAAAGGCATACTATGGGTATAGAAGGTGTAGACTGGCACTGTGGTTAAGGGTTTGGGTTTAAGTTCAACATTCTTGGTGCTCAAATTTCAGATGCTAGGTATATGTCCAATGACATCATAGCCCCAGTGGCTAGGATCATGGGCTCCTATCTGTTTTCTCATGTATCCCAGTCTTAGACAGTCAGGGCATTCTGATAAATATTAGCTGAGAGAGTGACATTCCTGCTATGGTGGAATGCTCAGAGCACTCCCTCCAGGACTGTCAAATGAAGGTTACTCTGACTCTACCCATAAGTTCCTGGCATTGCCTGAGAGGGAAAGGAAAAATAATGAACTCATCAGTGGAACGAGCCCTTTACTCTCAGGGAAGGGAAATTGAGCTGTCCTTCCGGCTTCTCTGTCCTCCCCTCCCCTTCCCAGAGGCTTAGCTCTGCTCACTTCTGCTTTCCTTCATGGCTGCCTGTGAAATCCCCTTGCCCCATCTCTCCTGCACAGTATTGAGGATGATTAAGCCGGCCAGCTCCAGTTTGCGGCTGAGGAGATGGCTGAACTTTTTTTGTGGACAGCCCTACTTCCAATGTGAACACTAAGCCAGTTCATTGGCTCAGAGTACAGCACTGCACTGTAATTGGGGTGCTCAGACACAGTCAGTCTAAGAGTTCTGTGCTGTGAATTCCAAGTTCACAAAAGCTAAGAATAAGTGGAGTACTGGGCCGTGTGTCCTTCTCCTGGGGCTTCCTGTCTTGGGCCTGATCCCAACCATTTTAGCAAAACCTCTGCCTGATCTACTGCTCCTGGAGCCCATGAAGGACAAGGCTGCCTGCCCAGAAACTACAAAATATTAAAAGACAAAATCTGGTTTGGTTGCCTGGGTTCCTGGAGGCTCTGGCTGTGCCTACCAGCTTTAACCTGGGTTACCCACAGCCGAGGATACAGACAGGGAACCTCTCAAACAGGCATAGGAATCAAGATCACAGAGATGATCAGGAGGCCTGGGATCAGAGCTGTGATTTATTAATTGCCTCTGAGGCGTGAGGCTCATGCAGTGCTCTGTATCTGCCTGTGGTATACACAGTGATGAGCCACCTGGGGCCTCCTTCAAGCTGCCGATACAGCTGCCAGGATTCCTGCTGAAAGATGCCCTTCTGTACAAGGCCATGCCCTTCCCTGAGTGAAGGACACCAGTGACTGATCAAGGTGTGTCTGTAAGAACTGGCCAATTTCAGCACAATTCAGGACTTCTCTGACAGAGCATTTCAGCTCTCAGGCTCTCCTGAGGTCATCCTAGGCTGCCCTGACCTACAAAGCAGTCTGACTTCTACCTCTATCCCATGTGCCCCTTTCTCTTTGGTAGATATTTTCCCAAACACTGCCTTTTATCAACATCCTACATGTGAAACTCTGCCCTCCTCTGCTTCTGGAAGAACCCAGCCTGTGACAGGGATGATGGGATGATCTCTTCCTTTAACCTCTGAGGAATGTCGAGGAAGAACTGAGAAGCAAGAAGAGCAGGTAGGATTTGTGTGTCTATGGACCCCAAATTCTGGCTAGCTGCAATGTGTAAAGAAGGCTATTTGTCTGCTATGGTGACTAAAAACATGAAGATAACTGGTTATTCTGAAACCACTGTTTTCTTTCTTTACAGGGCAGGAGTACTTCCCAAGTTCTCGACAGTGTTTTGTGTTAGCATTCAGGCATCTGTCCTGGCAGCCACTAAGAGCATCCCCTGTGCTCAGTTGCTACCTTCCCTCAGTTCCCTTAAATGGCAGCCTTGCCCACCTCCCGTCTCTTTCTGTCCCACTGCTCTTGTCCCCAGGGACCTGTCTCTGCTCCCTTCTCTGCCTCGTCTCTCTCCTCTTCCAATAAACCTCCCACGTGAGCCTTATTGTGTGGCTTGACTCCTTCCCATTGTTTTTAAATTATAACATTTTGGGTCCTGAAACTACTCTGAACTTTGAACTTTGACTACTACAATAATCTGGCTTTGTCATTCCTAGGCTCAAAGAGCTACCCACACACTAGGATCCATTTTGCATCTAGGTGGTGAGCTATTCCTTCCCTTTTGGATGTGTGGAGATTTTTTCTCATTGTTGCTTGAGTGTCCTCAGCCAGAATGGGCAATCCAGGAGGGGTAAGCTAATGGCTTCCATGACTTTTGTCAAAAGTCACAACTATCACTTTCTTCATATTCCATTCACCATAAAAGATTTATTAGTCTTATCAATATGTGACAGGAGTGGTATTAAGCTCCAAATATTAAAAGAGAGAAAACTTTGTAAGCATATATTAAAGCTGCCACAGTCCTGATCTGGGATGGTTTCAAAACTTTCTATGTAAATTTGGGAGAGCTTTTCCCCTCTCAGGACACTGAAGATTTTGGGGGGAAGATATCAGTTGGATAACAGTTTGAGGAACCCCCTTATTACTTAAGCAGGGCTTCTTTAAACTTCCCAGATATTGCTTTAATAGGAATGCAATATCAAAGAACATCTACAGTTTTTGACTGCACAGAGACCATTCCTTTTCTTCTAATTTCACCTCCAGAAAGCCACACTCGTGGCTGTTAGTTAGTGTGGAACCGGTGATTGCAATCTGCTTTCTTCATTTCCAGAGGTGAGTGTGAGAGCAAGGCTGACCAGTGAGCACAATGTGTTACCCTGTCTGCAGTGATTGACACTAGGACCAGCATAGCAACATGTATGTTCAATGAAAGTCACCCCCAAACCCTGTTAGTTGGGAGTTGTTTGCTTCAGAATGTTTGCTTCCATTGGTTCTTGAGTTCCTCTGTCATACCAAGGTTGTTTGCTTAAGAGTGAAGTCATCACAGAGGGAAAGTGGCACCAAGAGGAAGGCAGGAAGGGAGGGAAAGGTGCGCGAGAGAGATCCTTTGGGGGATGCATTGGTACTTGCACCTAGTAAATCAAGGGTAATTCTGATCACTTCTATTCCTGGGTTTTAAAACCATCAGCTAGTAAAATCCATGCTTTATGTCACTCAACTAGAAAGTCCTAATACACTGTTTTGCATTTAATATTTATTATATGCCAGGACTGATGTGAAGAACCAAAATGTTCCCATTTCTTTCTTAAAAGAACAACATTTTTGAGAAGTGTTATTATACTTTACAAGTGAGGCTTGGTGAGGATAAAAACCAGGCTCCATTATTCTCTGAATCTGTTGAGAAGCTGGGATCCTGATCACGTGGTTTGCACTAGGCTGTGAGGACCAAGCTTGGGTGGCCAGATGTCCACAGAGTTGTCACTATGCTGCCTTGCCCAGGTTTATTAGAGGAATTCTTTACATCACTGAACCAATTAGTTAGGTGAGAATCATAATTCCTATGATGACTCCAAATACTTAACACTATTGAAAGTGTATGTGTGTGGGTGCTCATCTTACAGACGAGGACACTAGGGGTTAAGAGTGTTAGAGACAGACACCGCTCTTCTATCAGTAGCACCAGGTTTTGATCCAGACAGGACCCAAACAGGAACACAACACCAGTACATTCCAATCGGCCAAGACAGAACAGTGAATGGGCTATATGAGTATTTTATAAAAATGCCAGGGTCCAATTCAGGGTTTTTAAATATTTCCTCTCCTCTTTTAGGATTAACTAACTTGTTTCAATTTTACCCCAGATTTTTCAAGCTTGGTTTTTGTTATTCTCATTTTTTTTATTTATTCTTTGACAATGTTTGCTCTCCACAAGTTGATAGGAAGACAAGACCTACAAAATTCATTGAACAGAGAAGTCAAGTTGGTGCTTACCTAGAGCTTTGATTCCTACTGACCAGTGCTCATGGTACCAGAAAGTACTCTGCATGCTACCAGAGGAGAAAGGGAAACACCAACCCAGCTACAAACCTTCCAATCTAAAATCGACCTGTCTGTGAGATATGCTAGTGCAATAATGGCTAGTGCAATAAATGGCTTAAATACAATAAATAAGTTCTGGGAGTAATCAGTGAATATCTGATTGGATTTAAGACCCATTCTGTGAGATAGAACCTATACCTAGAACCTATACAAGTCACTGCTTGAGTGGTCACAAACCTGAGCCTAAATAATCCTTGGGCCTAAAGGAAAACCAAATACTGCTGTTCCGCTAAAGGAATGTAGCAATAAGATGCCTAACAACATTCTGCTACACTCAAAGATAAGTGTCTTGCTTAGTCATCATCACAGAAGCTTCCTCCTACACTACATGGGGACAAATACATAGACCCACAACTGGAAAATATACAGAGTGAAAACCTTGGAACACTCAGTCCTAAATGGGATGTCTCCCTCAAATACCTCCCCTCAGGTCTCAGGGAACTCTGTGGAAGAGGAGGTATATTACAGCCTGAGGGAATCAGGGCTCAAAGGGAATCCATGGAGTTGGAGTACTATGACTTCATTTTAATCTGAGAGGGTAAGGGAAAAGACACATACTCTCTTGATGGATTCTTTTAGACCTTTTTTTTTTTTTAATTCTTTTCTCATATTCTCTATTCTTTATTTTCCTGGTGATTTCTTTCTCTCATTCTTGATGTTTTTCTTCTAACTTTTCTAACTCTATCTGTATTCTTTCCCTTACAGCTTATATACCCCAACAAAATCTTTCAGGCAACACAAAAATTGCAATGTGGTTACATTCTATTTTTCAAGTGAATGATTACAATGAATACAAGTAAAAAACACCATTTTCCCCATAGCCCTTACATGATTAAACATTTTACGAATTACAGGTGGAAAAAAATCTCAAGATTTCACATACATTCATACCCAAGCAAGTTATTATAGATTAACAGTGTAGGCAAGCAAGGTATTCTTTTACTGGCAGGCTGTGTTTTGTGGTTACAAAGAAAGGTCCAATCACTTTATTACTTCTCTTGAAAGGTAATCTTATAAGGAATCACAAACCTAAATCTTTACATATGAAAAAGAGTCAGTCAGCTCTACTTTAAATCTTTAGGGTGCATACTCACTCATCAACAGTTTTTGTTTTCCTTTTTTTATCAGGAGGTTGAGGACAAAAATGAGTACAAGGAATTAATCATCACCTTTGGTCATCAACCAATCCTAGCAAGCAAGGCACATCAGCTAATGATAATTGGGCTGCTTTGTTCTTGTTCCCTGACCTTAATGAGTTCCTCATTCAACTATGTGCCTTTCTAAAACTTTAGATTGTCTTCTAAGGTTTTTCACCTCAAAGATATTTGACAAAAACATCTTAGTCTAAATTTAAGTTATTTTCAAAGCCTTGTTTCAGCTATGATGTACTCTAAAATCTGTGAACACCTCCCCCCAAATTAAGATAAAAAGAATTTAAGCTAGCTGGGCTACTGGTACTAATTTTTTTTCTTAATCATTAACCTAAGCCATAGTCTATATTGCTCCCCAATAGAAACTCATGTGTTCTAGCTGTATGACACTTCCTTGTTTTATTTGTTATTATCAAAATTCTATTTGAACTGACACTATTATTATCAATTAGACAGCAGAGCTTAGGAAGAAATCATTTTCATAATAATCCACAAGTAGAAATGCCCAGTAGAAGGGTAGAATGGGATATTTTCAAGACAAAGATGGCAGTGGTGAACATGTAAAGACACAGCAGAAGCAAAAGGCACTCTGGGGTCTGTGGTCTCAGGCCTTACCTGTCTGAGATTCACCCAGGGATTTGCCTCCTGGTGGGCTGACACCCTGAGGTCAATTGCCACCTGCTGCTCCTCTGACATGGCCACCAGCAGAGGCAGAAGACTGTAAGAGCCAGAAAGGATGGAGGACACCAAGGAATCCAGGCCTTCTACAAACAAGAGGACTGATGAATATATGAACTCACAGAGCCTGAGGCAGCATGCACAGGGCCTGCACAGGTCTAAACCAGATGGGGTCCCAGTGCTGAGGGGAAATAGACACATGCTCCCATCCTTAACCAGTGGAATCTCACTGGTGTACAAATGACGTTTAAGGCCCCACACTCAGCAGTAGATGTCCAACACAAAATTAACTCAATGGTAATTTTGGAGGGTTTATTTTTGTCTCATAATGCTTTGCAAGGGGTTTTGTTTTTTGTTTTTATATTAACCTTACAGGTCTTTTGCTTATATATTATGGTTTCCATTTTTTTTAATGGGATTTCTCTGTTTGTGAATGTGTATTTCTCTGTGTCTTTATGTGTTTCTTGTGCTTTTTTTCTTTGGTTCTTTCTTTTCTGTTTGTTTGTTTGTTTGATCTTATTCTGGTTTGTTTATTTTTAACCTTCATTTTTTAAAATGTCTGTTTGCTTTCTAATGAGAGAGAGAGATAAGGGGTATGAATTTGGGTGGGTATGGAGGTGGAGAGGATTTGGGAGGAGATGGGGAGAGGAACTGTAATCAGAATATGTTATATGAAAAAAATCTATTTTCATTTTTTTTAAAAGGAAATTTTACAATGTACATAATTACATTACCATCACATCTACTCTTCACCCAACTGTCTGTCTCCCACTCACCTGGGCTTCTCTTCAACACATCTCCTTTCCAGCCTCATGTTCTCTTCTTTTATATTTTTGGTAATAGAGTGAGTATCATATTCTCATGGATATCAGGTCATCCACTGGGACATAGGTAACCTACTGACATTCACTCCACCCAAAGAAAAGTAACTCTCCTTCCCTCAGCAGCCATCAACTGCCAATAGCTCCTCAGTTGGCTTGAGGTCTTCAGAGCCGCTTGCCCACTCCATACTGGACTTTTTAATTGACTTGACCTTGTACAGGTCTTGAGCAGGGAACAGTAGCTGCTGTGAGTGCCACAGCCAGGTCACATCCAAAGATAGTATTTCACAGCACTTCTCCCTATCCTCCAGCTCTTTATATTCTTTCTACTCCTTCTTTTGCAATGTTCC